GTTCCCTAGAGAACTCCTTGCTATATATACTTGAATAAAAATCCTAGCTCCCAAGAGGGTAGACGTTAAAAAAAAAATAAAATAAATAAAAATAAATAATTTAATAGCCCTATTAGAATGCTAGTAAGTTTTAAAAAAAACCTAATATGTAACTGATAATTTGTTAGCTAGTTTTAAATAGATTTATTTATCAGTTTAACAAAAGTAATATCGATAATACCAATAAGCATATTAATTTTGATTTATATATTTTGATAGGTGTCCTATATTAGCCAAAGTTCAGATAAATATAGGAGTCAAATTAGGCATCTATAGGCAGTGTTGTACATTTTTGATGTCCAAGCCTTTTGAAGTGTCTGGCAGACTGTCTGGCTTTTTATCAGACTTATAAATTCACTTTAAAAATATATACATATATGCAAAAAATAATTCTGAACAACTTTAATTAATAATTGAAAGTGGGTCACAATATATTATTCAAAGTTATTCAGTGTCAAACTCTGACAAACTCTGTCCGAGTGCTGTCCAAGTTGTCTGAGTGACAACACTGCCTATAGGTAATAGATACGGGTAAACTATCATATTACTTTAGAGTACCTATTAGCTCATATTGGTGTCCTGATAGTTATCCAGTAATTCTTTATTCGACCTGTGTTATAAGCAAGTAATACATAGTAGTGTCTAATAACTGTGCTATAATTTCTACAAGAGAATTTTTTGAGCTATGAGAAACCTTATGAAGCACATTTAGTTTTATTTCTTGTAGAAATACATTGATAATTTCTCTTATTACATATTCTTTATCATATTCTTCTTCAATCTACTGGTTATATATTATAATTTCTAATTGCAATAATACAAATTTGCATAACCAACTAAGTTCATTTCTTCTTACTACAAAATCGGTACATAATTTTTTAATTCTGTCACTTTTGATTAAATCTCTTATATCGGTCTTTTCTCCCTAGTAAAATTATTTTGATAGAAATAGTTAATACATTTTTATTAATTAATGGAGTTGATTTTTATTTCATACCACAAGATCTTTATAGTTATTTTCTGGGAGTTGGTATCTATCTGAACTAAAGTCAATTACTTCAATGCATAATGGATCATTTTGTAACCAATTGTTTACTTTATTCCACAAAGTTTTACATAAATATGATTATGGAATTGTATCCTTCCATTCTTGAATACGCTTTTCAAAATAGCTATGTTGTTAGATGCCTCGTTTTTTCAGTCTTTGTATTCTTTAAAATCCCCTTTCATCTTTCAACGATATGAGTTCATCACAGGTATAATTGATCTAAAAAAAATAGAATAGTTTAATATAGTTAATATAGTTACAGAATATTGTCCAATCAGTAATTGCCGGTATTTTTACTGTTCATAAACAGTATTATAAGTATAATGAAAAAGAACCCTCGTTAGTATATAACTTAATTCGATCACATTATACTTATTAATTGGTGACAGACTATATTCATCATTTTTATAAATAATATTAAAATATTATTTTACTTACCCTAATTATTCTGACCAAGTCTTTCCATATCTCGATCGAAGCCTTGTTATTATTAGGTAGTTTAGTTAATATTAGTATAGTGCTGAAAGTATAGCAATAGTATTTGCACTATATCAATATAGCTTGAGCGATTTTTGTCACGATTCGCATTTGACCAAGAAGCTATTTTGCTTTTTTCATCATGATAATCTGATTGATTAGAATTGCAATCTGTATACAGATATATTCTTAATTATCATGATGATTTATATTTTTAAGGCTATATCTTTAGAACCTGAATACTGTATATACTAGATATTAGTATATTGAGCTAATTAGTTATGACTAGAGGTGCAAGCAGAACTTGAAGCATTGTGATTTGCTATAACGTAACTGAGTTATAATAAGTTATAACTTTTTGGCTTAAATTACAGAGTGCCGTAACATGCGTATATCCTGTAACTAAATTTTATATATTGAAACTTGCCGTAACTCAATTTCATATGTCGAAACTTGCCATATCTCAATTTTATGTGTCGAACTTGCTGTAACATGTTGTAACTTGTTATATATCTTTTTTTAGGGTAATTAGACAGAAAATTTTTTTCTTCGGATA